CCCACATCTAAGTGTGTGTGGCCCCCTTGTCAACACAACAGATGAAGGGAAAATTGAAGAAAATTTTAAAAACAAACAAGGGCCACAGAGATAGTACCAGGGCTAAGGTGCTTGACTTGCACAGGGAATACTGGGATTCCAAATCTGGCATTGCCAGGAGTGATCCCTGAGCACAGAACTAGGAGTAATCCCTGAGCACTGTTGAGTGTGCCCCACCATCACCCCTACGAAAAATAGGCAAAGTGGGCCAGAGAGATGGAACAAGGGTTAAGCCACTTGCTTTGTATGCAACAGACTCAAATTCAAGCCCCGAACCCCAAGCAGTAGCAAGCACAGAACCAGGAATGGCCCAAAGCATGCTGGATATGGCCCAACTTCACACACCCAAATAGGCAAATTACTTGAATAGGCATTTCCCAAAACAGAAAGATATAAAATTTCATGAAAAATAGCTCTCCAGCATCAGTAGGGATCAGAAACATGCAAATAAAAATCAGAATAATAGGCATAGTTGCTAGGAGGGTTATCATCATATTATTTAATAAAATTATATAAGATAATTATATAATATTACATTTCATATTATAAAAAAACAACATAATAAAACCAAAATTAACACATTTTGTGGGAAATTGGGGGGGCCTTGTATACTGCTGGTAAGAATAAAATAAAATGCAATAAAATAAAATGATGCTGCTACTGTGAAAAATCGTTTGGCATTCTTCAACAAGTTCAACAGAATTACCTGAAAATATGACCCAGAAAATCAGAATAAATTTCTTGGGTCACATTTATATATGTATAAACGTACCGTTCTTTTTTTTAAAAAAAAAAAGTATATATATATATTCAAAAGAAATAAAAAGTCCTTGAACAAAAACTTACACATGAATATTCGTAGTAGCACTATTTATGGTGGATATAAACTAAAATGTCCACCAACTGATTAATAGATTAACAAAATTTGATGGATATGATGAAATATTATTGACTCTAGATAAGAACAATTTACAGTACGACATGGATGAATCTTGAAATAACATTTATTATGTTATAACATTCTTTTATTGTGCTATAAAATAACGTAATGAAAGCATTTTTGTTAAATGAATGAAGTCAGAGGCAAAAACTTCCTACACTTACCATAAGATTCCATTTATATAACATCTGCTGAATAGGCCTTACCAACAGAGAGGAAACCAGGGGCAGTGAAGAGCAATCAATGGGGAGGAGAACTGAATGGACATGGGTTTTTTGTTTTCTGGGTTTTTTTTGGTGGTGTGTGTGTGATAAAGTGCTTTAAAATTAGGTGATGATGATGATTGTATGATTTTAAGAATATATTAAAACCCTCTGAACTGTGTACTTTGAAATGGTGATTTAGAGAGAAGAGGCGTCTCTCCCTGACTGATCTCTGGGCAATTCCCAGCAGTGCTCGGGGGCTACTTGAGAGATGAAAGAGAGACTTCAAGTACTGGAAGGTCAAACCCCGATCCTGCCTGTGGCAGTGTGTGCCCTCCAGCCCTCTGGGCTGTCTCCCCAAGCCTAAAATGATGAAGTTTATGGCCTGAGAATAAGAGACCAACAGTCATTATAATAAAACTGAAAGAAGATGAAAATATTAGAAATAACTTTATGCCAATATATTTCAAAACAGGCTAAGGTAAGGTAAGGTAAAGGCCCTCCCGTTGATCGTCGATTTGCTCGAGCGGGCCCAGTAACATCTCCATTGGAGACTTTGTTGTTACTGTGTCTGGCATATCGAATACTCTCAGTAGCTTGCCAGGCTCTCCGAGAGGGGCGGAGGAATCGAACTCGGGTCGGCCGCGTGTAAGGCGAACGCCCTACCCGCTGTGCTATCGCTCCAGCGATTGTTGTTTTGGGCCACACTGGTGGTACTCCGGACTTCCTCCTGGTTCTGTGTCCAGGGATCCCTCCCAACAGCGCTTGGGGGTGATAAGGATCATACAGGTTGGCCATGTGCAAGGCAAGGCTCTTACTACCCTTACCTACCCACTGTACTATTTCTTTCACCCCGAAACATACATTCTTTAAAACTAAAGCTAAAAAAAAAATACAAAACCTAAATTATAGATGATGATCAGATCATTTAATAGCAGTTTTATTTAATAAACAGCCTATTAAAGTTTTTAGAGCAGTTTAGAAGCTTTCCGGGCTGGAGCAATAGCACAGTGGGTAGGGTGCTTGCCTTGCACACTGCCGACCTGGGTTTGATTCCTCCGCCCCTCTCGGAGAGTCCAGCAAGCTACCGAGAGTATCTCGCCCGCACGGCAGAGCCTGGCAAGCTACCTGTGACGTAATCGATATGCCAAAAACAGTAACAACAAGTCTCACCATGGAGACGTTACTGGTGCCTGCTCGAGCAAATCGATGAACAACAGGACAATGGTGCTACGGTAGAAGCTTTCCACAGAGAAAACTATGTAGGTCTTAATTATCTTTGCTGGTATACCCTACCAAATATTTAAGAAATAAATAATGCCAAGGCAATAGAAACAATTGTAGAAATTAAAGACAGGAAACCACATCCCAAATATTTTTATAAGGTCAATATTACTCTACTACCAAGAGTGGACATGTGTATTATGAGATAAAAAATGATACATTTCATAAAGACAAATGAAAACATTCTTAACATCAGGGACAGGGAGTTGGCTCAAAGGACTGGAGTCCTTATCTTGCTTATGTAAGGCTCCAAATTCAATCCCCTCCACCAGGTGCTGTCCCAACCCCAGCATGACAGGATGTAGCCCTGGTGGCCCCTGGCACTGCTGGGCCTGAGTAGCATTGCATCACCTGCCAGAGCAGTGTACTTTGAGGGAGGAAGGGAGGGTTCCCAAGCAGTGATTGGGGGCCACTCCTTCCAATACTTTGACAATCAATCTGGAAGACTCTGCGCTAGGTCTAGAGAATGGGATGCTGCTCTGGCCCTAGAGTTCCAGGGACCACCAGGCCACCCCTGTCAGTGCTGGGGGCCATGTAGCATCCTGGATTTAACCTCTGAGCTATCTCTGAAGCTCTGGGACCCAAGATTTACTATCCGGCCTGGTTGACAGGTATCACCAAGAATTACCCTGGGTTTCCCTGAGCATGGTTTGGGAGTCACCCCCCTAAATTGTTAACAGCAAAGCAATTTAGAGAGCATTCATTTCATTTTTTTTCATTTCATCATCCTGTTAATCGTCGATTGCCTCGAGCAGGCCCCAGTAACGTCTCTTTCATCCTAGCCCTGAGATTATATTCAAGGCTCTTTAGGAGAATGAGACCCATCATTGTTACTGGTATTTGGCATATTTGGTAGGCCACAGGGAGTTTGCCAGACTCTGCCCTGTGGGCAGGCTACATTCGACAGCCTGCAAGTTTGTCCAAAGTAGGAATGAGATAATAAGATGTCGCGCGGCCGCGAATTTTTAGAGAGCATTAATACATAAATATTATGAACAAGTGAAACTTATACCAGGATGCAATGTTGGTTTAACATTCGCAATTCAACTGAGAGATCAATAGATAAAGGGAAAACAAATTTTAAAAAATTTAAATTAATTTTGTTTGGAGGACATACTTGGTCATGCTCAGGACTTACTTCTGGCTCTGCACTCAGAGGACCATATCGGATACAGGGAATCAAAGTTAGATCGTGTATTTAAGGTCGACCTAGGTCAACCTGCTATACTATTACTGTGGTCCCCAGGAAAACAAATCGTAGTAAATCTGAGCGAGTGTTATTTTTCAAAGAACATGCTAAAATAATCCTTGAAATAGAATTTGAGGGTATATATATGCTTCTGTTTTCATCTCTCTAGATTACTTTCTAAATTTTAGATATCTTCTAAATTTTTGTAGGGAAGATTTGCTATTTGAAATGGTAATTCTTTTATTTTTGTTATTTAACCAAGATACTGATAAATATGACTCCCATGACAAAATTACACTTGAAATTTCGTGTAAAATATAAATGCAGGAAAATAAAAAATGTACTCAATATACTTGGAATAGTAATACTTAAGAAGTTGTTTCTAAATTAATTTTTTGATATATTTAAACCCCTTATCTAATTAAATTTTGTTCATTGTGGATTATATTTCTGTTAAGGTAGGAAGCATTTCTCTTAGCAACTCAAAGTACCATTTCTTCCTCTATTTCCATTTTTCACCATTATTATGTGCTTGAACATAAATCCCAACTTAAAAATATTTTTACTTCACCATCTAACTATGCCTGTCTTATTCAATGTATTTAGTTTTGTAGGGCTACACCCAGAAGTACTCAAAGAACTATATATGGTGCCTAATACTGAATGTGTACTGGCCACATACAAAGCAGGTACTATATCTTTGCCCCAACTATATATCTATTTTGATTCCTTATTAATAATATAAACCATGAGACTGGAGCAATAGCACAGCAGGTAGGGTGTTTGCCTTGCATGTGGCGGACCCGGGTTCGATTCCCAGCATCCCATATGGTCCTCTGAGCACTGCCAGGAGTGATTCCTGAGTGCAAAGCCAGGAGTAAGCCCTGAGCATCCCTGCGTGTGACCCAAAAAGAAAAAAAAAACATAAGTACGTTGATGCTTTCCAAGTAATTAATAAGCTAGGAGTATGACTAGGGGCTCCAAATGAGGTATTCAAATTTTCATCAAATTTCCCTTTGTTTTTTTTTAAAAATTAGGTGGAAAATATGACTATCTTAAAGAGGTGAGTGGGATTTATTACCCCAATCAGTGAAGGCGACAGTGCAGGCTTTACTTGGATAAAGGGGAGCCACTCACCTGGGTAGAGAGGGGCTGACCAGAGAGGAAACGAGGGGTCCTAGTCCTTCTCCTTTCATAAACCTCTAGGTTCTAAAATGAACGTGAGCCCAAGCCCTGAATCTGGCTGTGGCCAGAGACTGCTAGTAGAGAATATCAATCAGATTGTGCGGTCAGAGGCCAAGTCACAGAATGAGAAAATGCAATTTAGAAGAACGTAATTACCGACCTATAAGGAATCATTTCAACGAATGGTGTGCTGGATTCTGTGGTCACGTTTATCTTGTTTGAAATTGCAGCAAAGAAAATAATCTGTAGGGGGTTAAAACAAATGATGTATGAGCACCTAAATATTATCTATGGCTCCCAGGATCAGAGGTACCCAAACCCCGTCACAGGACAGGACAGGAAATAAAACCTGTGGTGGTCTCTAGGCATGGAGGCTGGCAAAAGGTAGGACCAGTTCTGTGAAACATAGGCGGAAGTTTTCTCCAACTTTAGGGGTGCCCCGAGATCTCTTTAGTATTGTAGGCAGAATAAAATACAACGTCAGCCTTGATCTCTGCCATAATAAAGGAATGACTAAATGTCTCTTTCTTTACCAACCTTTTCAAACAAAATTATTTAAGTTTTTGGGTCACACCTGGAAATACTCAGGGATTACTCCTGGCTCTGTGCTCAGGAATTATTCCTGGCAAAACGTGGGGGACCATTTGGGATGCTGGGGATTGAGCTTGGGTCAGCTGTGCTCAAGGCAATACCCGCTGTATTATTGCTGCAGCTGCACCAAGGCTTACGCCTAGCTCTGTGCTCAGGGGTCACTCCTTCACTGATCTGAAGTGGGCTGTGAGCAGGGAAAACACCCTGACCCCTAGTACTGTCTGGCCTTTGATCACCAAATTTCAACATCTAGGCCAAATATTAATGTTTTCAAGGAACTGGGAATGTACTTACTGATGCTTTGCTAGGGCTTTAGTCTTCAGCAAAAATACTTCATTTTCAAGTAATGACAGGATCAAGGCCTCAGTTTTAAAAGGTTTTAGTTCTAGGCATATTATATCAAATAAAACTTTGAGTGGGGTTGTTAAGGTATATTAAGGTAATAATCATCCGTATTTCATATCACAGAGAAAGGGTCTTTAATAAAGTAATTACTTGCTTTACCCCCTTTCATTTATTTCTTTATCTTCTTTTTGGCGGGGGGCACCAACACCCAACAATGCTCAGGGGTAACTCTTGGTTCTGCACTCAGGAATCACTCCTGACGGATTCAGGGGGCCATATGGGATGCCAGGGATCAAGCACTAGTCGGCTGCATGCAAGGAAAGTATTCTACCCACTGTACTATCTCTCTGGCCCCCCTTCATTTCTGAAATGGTAAGTCTTCCTTATATTCTACCGAAGGGAAAAAAACATACAAAAAAGAAAAAAGAGAAAAATGCAGAATTGAAAAATATAAATAAATTGCTTGAAGACAAATACTGTAGATACTTTTTGGTGTTTGTCATGCAGCTTAAATACAAACATATAAATTGTAAACATAGAGCAATGTATAATTTCTCACCATTATGGGACTTTTGAATTACTGGTTAGGATATTCTAATGGAACCCCCGGTAAGGTCTTCAAGATTTTCCATAAGGGCTGGAAACAAGATTTCTGCCTTGAACGTGGTCAACTCTGGTTCTGTCTCCAGCACTACACATGGTCTCCTAAGCACGGTGGTCAGGGATCACTCTTGAGCGAAGAGCCAGGAATAGCTCCTGAGCACTATTGCGTGTGTCCAGAAAACCCAACCTCCTCAATTTTTTCTCTTAATGCTTTGGGCTGGTGTCGGGTAGGGCGTTTGCCTTGCACACAGCCGACCTGAGTTCAATTCCTTCACCCCTCTTGGAGAGCCCGGCAAGCTGACAAGCTACCCATGACATATTCGATATGCCAAACACAGTAACAAGTCTCACAATGGAGATGTTACTGGAGCCGCTCTAGCAAATCGATGAACAAGGGGAGGACAGTGCTACAGTGCTACAGTGCTAATGCTTTGGGCAGCTATCTTAAGAACAGATTATCAGGGGAAGACATGGAGCTCTTTTTAATGTCGTGTTTTGCCATACCTGGCAGTGCTCAGGGCTTATTCCTGGCATGCACTCAGGGACCAGTCCTGTCTGGCTCTGGTGACCATACAGGATGCTGGGGATCGAACCAGAGTTGGCCTCATGCAAGGCAAGGGCCTTCCTCAAGACTGCTGCGCTGGCCCGTGGGGGTTTCTTTTTAAAATCAACCCCCTGCTGGATGACAGAAAGTGCCCCCAGTCTCTTGATGCGCATAAAATCATATGAGGTGTTTTAATTGTGACAATAATTGTGGCAGTGTCTTCAAGAATGTTGGGCTGACTCAGGACTAGTTTGACTGTTTTCAGAAGGAAGAATGTAAGAAGGAACAAATTCAGGAAATAGAGTGTAGTGTGAAATGGAAAATATCACAATAATAAATAAAACCTCATAAAAAGAAAATGCAAGCATTATTTCAAGCTTCAATGATTTCTGAGGATAAATGAGGTGACACGAAAAGTTTAATGCCTACATTACAATCTTCCTAAAAGTCCCCACTAGCTTTCATAGCTGGACTATAGATTTCTTCTTCAATTATGCTCAGGGTGCGTTTTAATCATTTCTAGCATTCTCCAGGGAAATGTCTTCATTGTTGCTCATCGACACCGATGTCAGTCACAGTCTATCCATAGCATCTGCTACACCAACACCATTTTTGTTATTTTTTTTTTGGTGGTGGTGGGAATGGTCACTAGGACCACCCGTGGCAGTGCTTTTGGTGGGGGAGGGTGTTACTCCTGTGGTTCTCACTCAGGAATCATCCCTGACAGACTCAGGGGACCATAAGAGACGTCAGGGGTTGGTGGTATACCTACACTCTTACCACTCATTTTTTTCTAACAATATAAATAGTTAAGATACTGCTTGAAGGGGCTGGACTATAATTCCTCATGCTGATTTCTCTCAAAATAGGGTTGATTTTTTTTTTCCTTTTTGGGTCACACCCAGCGATTATCAGGGGTTACTCCTGGCTCTGCACTCAAGAATTACTTCTGGCGGTACTTGGGGGACCATACAGGATGCCAGGGATTAGACCCAGGTCTGCCATGTGCAAGGCAAATGCCCTATCCACTGTATTATTGCTCTGGCTCCAACAGGGTTGATTTTTGACAGTGAAGATGGACCTTATGTTAAATGAAATACGCAGCCAAAGAAAGACAAATGCTACATGGTATCACTAACATGTGGAATCTAAAAAGTAAAACAAAAACAAACAAACACAGCCACACTCATAGGAACAAAGACTAGAAAAATGGTTGCCAAGGTCTGTGGGGCTGGACTTATGGGGGTGAAGGGAAGGAAAAGTTGGTAAACTTTCAGCTGCAAGATGAATAAGGCCCAAGGATTTCCTGTAAATGACGTTGACATGGCTGTAGTGCCTGATTGAAATTTGTTGAGAAAGAGGGACGTTAAATATTCTTATAAGGAGGGGCTGGAGAGACAGTACAGCAGGTAGGGCATTTGCTTTGTATGTGACCAACTCAGGTTCAATCCCTGTCAACCCATTTGGTCCCCTGAGCCCTCCAGGAGTGATCTCTGAGCACGGCCGGGTGTGCTTATGTCTGAGTCACAGATGCCATCTGCTGGTGACTCCAAAGCCTCAGCTTTCTCGGATGCCACAGCCACACTGGAAGAGAAATTGTCCCCAATCCCACTCTCCAAACGATGTGTTCCCATTGGAACGTCTAGAAGTTTCCTCTGTGTCTATGGTTTTGGAAAGTCTTATAAAAGCCCCTGGCTTATATGAATAAACAGTTTTTTTAGCTGCTCCAAGGAACCTATGCATCTCCATGAGTAGACAACAGAGACAGATGGGTCTCACTTCCCAAAGCAATTCCCATGGTCTTTCCATCATAAGGAGTGTAGACATCAGCCCAAGGATGTGATGACACCTTGTGCAGTACCCAGGGTTCCCTGAGCCACCTCAATGATGCAAGAGAACCTCCAGAAATTCACCCAAGATGCTCAGGGGATCACTTTATGCTGGGGATTGAAGTGGGGCTGGCTCTCTGCAAGGGGTGCTCCTCAATCCCTGTGCCATCTCTCTGGACTCTCCCTCCGATTCTTTACATAGCACAGCACAAAACAGATGAATCATAAATAAAATGGAACCAAACCTCGACAGAGAAGATGGAGATTCTCTGAGACTGAATAGAAGCCACTATGCATTATGTTGAAATGAATTTTCAGTGAATAAATGAAAATTCAAATATATCCGTTGTGGTTGCATTTGAGTGGTGCAGCTCTAGGAATTTCTTTCCCACCCTTTATTCCCCTTCTTTGTTTTTTTCAAAATAGCTGGAGGGGGCTGGAGAGATAGCACAGCGGGCAGGGCGTTTGCCTTGCACGCAGCAGACCCGGGTTCGATTCCCAGCATCCCATATGGTACCCTGAGCACCGCCAGGAGTAACTCCTTAGTGCAGAGCCAGGAGTAACCCCTGTGCATCGCCAGGTGTGACCCAAAAAGCAAAAAAATATATATATATAGCTAGAATGAGTCTATTATTTTCATAAAGGGGAGAGAAAAGTTCTGTTTCTGGGCCCCAGGAGGTAACGCAAAGAACCACTGTACACTCTTAGCATGCTGGAGGCCTGAATTCAATGTCCAGCATGGCATGACCTTTGGAGCATGGCCAGGAATGATCCCCAAGCACTGAGATCCCAGAGTAGACCCTCAGAACCACCGGGTGTGACTAAAAACTAAAACCAAAAATTTTACTCCTGAAATACTATGAAAAAGAGGCAATAGATAAAAATACTTTGAAAATAAGCATATTTTGCAAATATAAAGCCAGCATTTAAACTAAATGTATTCAGGGACCTGAGAGTACAGTGGGTACTGTGATCCCTGAGCACAAGGTAAAAAAGGTAAAGGTAAAGGCCCTCCCGTTGATCGTCGATTTGCTCGAGTGGGCCCAGTAACGTCTCCATTGGAGACTTTGTTGTTACTGTGTCTGGCATATCGAATACTCTCGGTAGCTTGCCGGGCTCTCCGAGAGGGGCGGAGAAATCGAACTCGGGTCGGCCATCTTGGCCGCTTGTAAGGCGAATGCCCTACCGCTGTGCTGAGCACAAAGCCAGCAGTAACACCTGATACCAGCTGGGTGTGACCCCCAACAAAATCGAACTAAAAACAAAAATCTAAATGTATTCATCTTTGTCAGAGTTCAATATATATGTATTTAAATAGTAAGTAAAGTAAAGTAAAGGCCCTCCCGTTGATCATCGATTTGCTCGAGCGGGCCCAGTAATGTCTCCATTGGAGACTTTGTTGTTACTGTGTCTGGCATATCGAATACATCACGGGGAGCTTGCCAGGCTCTGCCATGCGGGCGAGATACTCTCGGTAGCTTGCCGGGCTCATTAAAATTATTTTTATAGTCCTCCTGGAGCCTTTTCCTTCCTGGATTATTTCACCTATTTACTTTTTTAAGGTAGGTATTTTAAATGATTTGGAAAATGAATCTAGTGGGGGGAGCATCAAAATACCTACCAGGAAAATTTCCATGGGAAATTCCATGGGGTAATGATTGAAGGAAATCCGGACACACTTGTTCACTCTCAGAATGACCACAGTAGTTAGAAAGAGCAGAATGCTGGTAGAATTAGCTCTGGGGAGAGCTATGCAGTAGTTAATTGTGTTCTGAAAAACAAAATTACAGATGCTTAGGAAAGGATCGAATAACAGCATACGTCTAGGAAATGATACTCTTTTAGATGAGTTAAAAAAAATCCCTGTGGTCAGGGAGATAATACAGAAGGTCAGCCACTTGCTTTGCAGATACGCTGGTCAAGAGCCTGGGTTCAAATCCTTGGCACCACATATGGTCGCCTGAGCACTGCTACGGGTCATGCTTGAGCACAGAGCCAGGAATAATCCCTGAGCATTTCCAGGTATGGCCCAACTTCCTCACCTCACCCCACTCCCATCCCATCCATCCCACCCCACACATACACCAAAGAAGTCTCGGAAGTTTTGCTGGGCAGAAAGGGCTTTGTGAGCACCATTACAACGCAGCAAATTGTTTGCTTAAGTTGAAAAGATAAGTTTTAAAGTCTGCCATGGGGCTGGAGCGATTGTACAGTGGGTAGGGCATTTGCCTTGTATGTGGCCGACCTGGGTTCAATCCCTGGCATTCCATATGGTCCCCCATGCACTGCCAGGAGTAATTCCTGAGCACAGAGCCAGGAGTAACCCCTGAGCATTGCTGGGTGTGAACCAAAAAGAAAAAAAAAAGTTTGCCATGCCCATTTAGGAGAGAATACACTCTGTACGGTTAAGTGTAATAAAATGGCCCCAGGAGTTCTTTTATTAGTTCATTCCTAATTATGTCCTGGACCTTATATGTTCTTTAGGGTCAGAGATATAGGGTAATGAATAAGGCTGCCTTACAAGCAGCTGACCCAGCTTCAATCCCCCAACAACACGTATGGTCCCCTGAATATCACTAGGACTTGATTCTTGAGCTCAGGGCCAGAAGTCACTGTCACTGTCCTCCCATTGTTCATCGATTTGCTCAAGCGGGTCCAGTAACATGTGAGACTAGTTACTCTGTTTGGCATATCGAATAGAATACGTCACGGGGAGCTTGCCAGGCTTTGCCGTGCGGGCGAGATACTCTCGGTAGCTTGCCAGGCTCTCCGAGAGGGGCGGAGCAATCAAACTCAGCCGTGTCAGCCGCGTGCAAGGCAAACGCCCTACCCGCTGTGCTATTGCTCCAGCCAGGGCCAGAAGAAGTCCTAAAAACAACTGGGTGTGACCCCCAAAGCCAAACAAAGATGTATATTCTTTACCTTGGTTCCTACAACCATTCTTGCATTCAGGAACCACTAAGCAATATCTGCAGATGTCTTGGATATGTTGTGAGGCATATAATGCAGAGTAATGCTAGATACAGCATTTTACAGGCCAGATTTTAATGTCAATGATGTTTGTTTAAAAGTCTGGGCAAAAAATGGTTGGTGAGGGACTGGAGCAACAGTACAGCGGGTGGGGCGTTTGCCCACGCACAAAGCTGACCCGGGTTTGATCCCTAGCATCCAATATGGTCCCGAGTACCAAAAGGTGTGATTCCTAAGTGTAGAGCCAGGAGTAACCCTTGAGCATTACCGAATGTGACCCAAAAAGTCAGAAAAAAAAAAAGGATGGTGAAACTGAGAACAGAGCCCAACTGGTGTCAGTAACCACTCAAGATGGTAAATCTATAAACAATTATTTCCAGGACCCTGTTCGCTCACTTGCCTGTGCCGGAGATTCTCCACTCAGGTCTTCTTTGAGGAGGCAAGAGGAGAGAGAAGCATTTGTAACTCTGGGTGAGGGCAGAAACTACTCACATAGAAGAAGGCGATGGGACCAGCGTGGAAACTAATCATCACTCCCAATACGCAAGTTAGTTGACTCAGGATAACGTGCAGTGCCGCGGCAGCCAGGTATGCACTGATGACTGCCTCCGGAAGGTAGGTCGCGATGAAGCCAAAGCCTAACATGGCCATTGCTAGCTAGAAGCAATTCAGATGGAAAAGGAAACCAGAGTGAGGCAGACAGGTATGTGCCCAGCGGGAGCACCCATCACACTCTCCAGATGGTACCCAATGACAGGATGATGTTTGGTGAGACCCCTTCCATAACTTCTTTTCCTAACCAGTTCTGATCCGATTAGAACTGGGCTGGCTTCTTGGGCTGATCTGGACTCCTTAAGGGCACTGGACCACACTTCTTTCTTTGAGCACTCAGGCTACATTTCTCACCCTAAGCTCTACTGACTTTGTAAACCGTGGGCTTAACAGAGACAAAGAAGTGGAACTTTGTAAAGGGCCCTTTCATGACCAGCTTTGATAATCCTTTTCAAGCAGATATTAACTCCCCAAGTAAAGGACACAGCTTTTCATAAAGGAGAAGATAACTCCAAAGGCTGAACGTAGCTCAAATTTCTTCTTCTTCTTCTTTAAAAAAATTTTTTTTGGAGGAGGGGAGTTTGAGCCACACCTGGCGGTGCTCAGGGCTTACTCCTGGCTCTGTGCTTAGGGATCACTCCTAGTGGTGCTCAGAGGACTGTATGGGGGGCCAGGGATTGAACCAGAAATGGTTGCCTGCAAGTCAAGAGCCTTTACTCACTATACTCTCTCTCAGGCTCTAAACTTCTTGCACTTTGTCTTTTATTTTTATAAGCGTGATTAAACTGAATTTATTTTTAAAAGATGGCAATATGGTATTTACATGCACATATTCATCTACAACATAGAAATACACATTTAACTGTTATTAGTAATACAGTTGCTAATGCTATTGTAACTATGCTACCTAAGCTAAATTTTTTTTTAAACTGCTGAGGTAGCGAGACATTTTGACAAAATGCTGGTGGCATAAGAGAAGGGTGCCACTTGTTAGTGGCTGAGGATCAGGTCCTCCTCTCGGTCTCCATAGAAACCCTCATCTTTGGAATGTTTCGTTAATGCTGGGCAGGGGTGGGAATTCTGATTCCCTGTGAAGCCTCCACTGATATTATTCTGGGGGCAGAGAAACGAATTACTTTACCTCTTTCCAAATAACCTCCACTGACACCAAAGCAGAGGAAGGTTATCCTTGTCACTGCAGATGGTGACAAAATTATGTGGCTCTTTTCTAAGTCTTCTCTGCTCCTCAAGTCCAGCAAGAACTAGGGAGAGTAGCTCATCACCATCGAGTGGTGTTGGTGGAGGTTATAAGGGGAGAGGTAAAGGAATTCATCAGAAAGTACAATATTTCAGCCGGAGGAGGTGGTATCTCGTTACAAGCCGGGTGAGGGTGGATCTTGAGTTTTCTCATTTGGCCTTTGCTGATATGACGGGATGACCTCACAACTCTTGTCTAATGTCTTCTGGACTAGAACAGCCTTGCTATTCTTTCCTGCTCTTGGGGACATAAAAAGAACTCCTAGTGTTTTGCTTGTTGGGTGGTTTGGTTGATTGCAATCTGTTGGCATCTGTACTTCTGGCTTCTTTAGCATCAAGTCTGAGGGAGAAAGAGAAAACTCAGGGGACTCACCACTGTGCTGTTCCTAATCAGTGTGCTTCTTCTCTCCACCTCTCGGAGTCTTCCTGTGAAAATCTTCATGTATTTGTTTTATATAGAATATCCCAAGGTTTTTAGTTGTTCTTAGTAGGAGGAATAGTAAAAGGACATATATTCCATCTTCCTGGAAATAATGGATATCTCTTCCATTATTATATATTTTTAAAGGCTCAGAAGAGGTCCAGAGAGATAGTAAAGGGCACAAGGTGCCTTAATTGCACATGGTCAACCCTGATTTGATCCCTGGCACCACAGATGGTCCCCTGAGAACCCCCCAGGAGTGATCCCGGAGTACAGAGCCAGGTGGGCATAACGCAACACCCTGAGAGCATGCTTAAAGCTACTTAGATTACTGATATGTTGATTAATTACTGTCTCTTCTTTTATCTTCAACAAGATGAACATTTTAAGCACTGTAATTTTCTTTTTTATAATTTTTTGTTTCTTTTAAGTTCCAAATTCAGAGTTAGAGAATGAGTACAAAAGTTAAGGTGCTTGCCTTGCATGTGACTAACCCTGGTCTGATCCCCAATACCACCAGGAATGACCCCGAAGTACAGAATCAAGAATAAACCCTAAGTACCAAATGTGTACACCTCCAAACAAAAATAAAGTAACAAATCAATTTTCCTGTGTCCAATAATAACATTTTTATGCTTACTATTCGACAAGCTCTGGGCTGAGTCTTTGTCCTACACTTTCTAACTTAATCCTCATAAGAATCTTGAAAACTAGGTAATATTATTTCCATTTTGTACATGTGAAAATGGAGATCCAGAAACGTAAAATAATTTAAGTAATTTCATACAGTTGCCGGGGCTGGAGCTATAGCACAGCGGTAGGGCGTTTGCCTTGCATGCAGCCAACATGGCCGACCCGAGTTCGATTCCTCCGCCCCTCTCGGAGAGCCCGGCAAGCTACCGAGAGTATCTTGCCCGCACGGCAGAGCCTGGCAAGCTCTGTATTCGTATGCCAAACACAGTAACAACAAAGTCTCCAATGGAGACCTTACTGGACCCGCTCGAGCAAATCGATGAACAACGGGAGGGCCGTGACCATGATACAGTTGCCAATTGTCAAGTTTGGGGCAACCCAACATGACAGTGCTATTTTGGGGGGTGAGGGGGTAATACCTGATGATTCACAGGGGTTAGTCCTGGCTCTGCACTCAGGAATTACTCCTGGCGGTGCTCTGGGGACCATGTGGGATGCTGGGAATCGAACCCGGGTCGGCTGTGTGCAAAGCAAACACCCTACCCGCTGTGCCATTGCTCCAGCCCTGACAGAATGCTTCTGTAGGGTCCAAATGACCTTGTGACTTCTAGATAGTTCTGGGGGGAATTAGAAGAAACTCAAAGTTTTAGGATAGCACTGTCACTGTCCTCCTGTTATTCATCGATTTGCTCGAGATTGCCCAGTAACTTCTCCATTGTGACACTTGTTACTGTGTTTGGCATATCGAATATGTCACGGGGAGCTTGCCAGGCTTTGCCGTGTGGGCGAGATACTCTTGGTAGCTTGCAGGGCTCTCCGAGAGGGGTGGAGGAATCGAACTCACATTGGCCAAGTTGACCGTGAGCAAGGCAAACGCCCTACTGCTGTGCTATCGCTCCAGCCCAAAGTTTTAGGAAGAAAGAAAAATAAAGCTGGAATATAATTGTGTGATTTTAGTCAGCGGGGAAAACTTTAACTCTCAGAGGAATAAAAGACATGGAGAAATAAAAATAGATATTTTTCTAAGTCACTAATATTATTGACCTTCAGATGTGGCTAGTCACTGCAGAAAAGTGATAGTATGAAACTGACTTTAACATTTACTAACTCAGAAGAGCTAAGCTTATAAATGCTACTCGTGTTTAAAGACTGGAAAGAACTAAAAGATGAGAACTAGAGATATGATTTAGGACTTATGTATGTATTTCTGAGGCAGAGGAACCCAGGTGTGAGGGACTGGGGCTGAGATCTCCAAGCCTGCTCAGATCAGGACTGAGCCTTCTTCACCCAGATCCCCCATTTTCCAGTAGCTAGGCAGTCACGCCCACAAACAAAGTCACGCCCTGGCGCCATGTAATTCCATCAATGGCCAACATCCAGAGACTGTAAAACAAAGCTCTCAGAACCGCAAGGCCACATTTGTGGCCGCACGACCTCTTATAGTCTAGTTCTTCCTCTCGGAGAACCCAGCAAGCTACCAAGAGTATCCTGCCCACACAGCAGAACCTGGCAAGCTCCCCTGGGTGTATTCGATATGCCAAAAACAGTAACAATGATGGCTCTCATTTCTCTGACTCTGAAAGAGCTTCCAATGCGGCACCATTGTGAAGGACAAGTAAGAAGAGGCTGCTAAAATCTCAGGGTTAGGACAAATGGAGACATTACTGGCATGCTTGAGCAAATCAATGAATAACGAGGTGACAGTGATACAGTGATACATGTATTTTTAGGTTCAGTATCCTATGTAGCTTAGGTTCAGTATCCTAAATCAATGGATGCTGATTTCTGGGGGGGGGAGGGGAGGCGGGAATTTTATCACTGAGGAGGCAAGCTATCCCAAAAAATTTTCCAAAAATAAGTTTACATAATTCTAAATATATTGTAATACACACACACCATGAACAGTTAAAGGAAGAGATTCACTTGTATTCTATTTATTAATTACTTCAGAAATTCAGAGACCTAGATCCTACCTGAATAACTCCAGTCAGAAGAGTTCGAGAGGCCACTGCACTCAAGGACCTGTTATAGGCTACTAAAGTGTGGGGCCTAGAGAAGTCCTCACCAAGGAAAGTCCCCAATAGGAGGTGGCCGTTGTTGAAAGGGTACATCTTCAGGACATTGACCATGAGAGCACTTACAAGGAAGAAGTAACCTATGGAAGAAAATATTGAGGCAGAAGGTAAGGTTTCAAGTCCATGTAAATGCATAGATGTTGACAAAACAAGGAATGAAGAGGGTATTGTCCTTCATCTGAAGAAATTATTTTTTGGGGGGACGACCACACCAGGCTGTGCTCAGGGCTTACTCCTGAATCTGCATTCAGGGACCACTCTTGGTGGGGTGCGGGGTTGGAGGGCTGCATATGGGATGCAGTGGATCAAATTCTGGCCAGCCGCGTGCAAGGTAAGCACCCTATCTGCTGTACGATCACTCTGACCCCTGAAGAACTTCTTTTATTTTAAAGTGGCCACTGGAAAGTAAGAAGAAAAAAAAAGAACAAAGGATTCTGGCTCCACAGAGTAGGATCAATTTGCAAAATGTAGGTCTTGGCTGTCCAGGTAGGTATATAGTGAAGAATTGAGAAACGTACTAAAAGTGTATATTAGGTTCAATTACAGTGCCTGCTCTCAGACATGGTAAAATGTGAGACCACGGGGCCAGAGTGATAGTACAGTGGGGAGGGCATTTGCCTTGTATGCAGCCAATCAGGGTTCAATCCCCAGAATCCAATATGGTCCCCCGAGCACTGCCAGGAGTAACCCCTGAGCATCGCTGGATGTTATTCAAAAAATGAACAAAGAAACCAAAAAGAAATGTAAGACCCTGGTGGAAAAATCAGAAAAAAAGCCAATCAACAATAAGGCACAAGAGAGATAGTGCAGGGAGTAAGGCATTTGCCTCGCATGAAGCTATGGCAACCAAGAACCTGATTTGAACCCCTGACACCATATATGGTCTCCTGAGTACTTTTAGGGGCCACTCCTGAGCATAGAGACAGGAATAGGCCCTGAGCACTGTAGACACAAGCCTCCTCTCCCCCAGGCCCTCTCCTTGGTCAATGCAAATATAAAAATAAAGGAGCCAGAGCGATAATAAGGGAGTAAGTTTCTTGCCTTGCAACACACTGACCCCAGTTTAATCCTTAGCACTGCAAAGGGTCTCCCGAGAACTGCCAGGGGTGACTCCTGAGCAGAGAGCCAGGAATAGCCCCAGTGCTGCCTGTGATCCAATGTTTCCAAATTTAAAAATACATTAAATAAATAAAAAGCACGAAGCAAAGACAAAATAAACTCTTTTACAGAAGTCTTACTCTGATGCAGAATGACACTGAGCAAAATCTGTTTCAAACGTCATGTCATTTATTTCCCATTCTGCCATGTTTACATATGGGAGCAAAGGTAAATCTTACTATCAGAGTACCTAACAGAAACAAAACCCTAAAGGTACTTGTGACCAGTATTTGGAAATGACTGCAATGTGCTCAAAGAACTTGGTTAAAATGTAGAACAAGGGGCTGGAGAGATAGCACAGCGGGTAGGGCATTTGCCTTGCACGCAGCCAACATGGCCAACACAGGTTCGATTCCCAGCATCCCATATGGTCCCCCGAGCACCGCACCACCAGGAGCAATTCCTGAGTGCATGAGCCAGGAGTAACCCCTGAGCATCGCCGGGTGTGACCCAAAAAGAAAAAAAGCAAAAACAAAAATGTAGAACAAGGGGCCAGGTATGTAGCTCAGCAGTAGAGCACTTGCCTTATAAATGCAAGACCCTGGGTTCATTTCCAGCACCACGTACACACGCATGCACATGCACTCACACAATATACACAGAAATAGAATTAACACAAAATAGACTTTAATAAAGGTAAAGAATACTGTCTTTTAGAAGGGCAGAGGGTGCTGGGAGTGAGCTCAGAGTGCTGAACACAAGCTTTGCATGCAGGAGGTTCAGGTTCAATGCTTAGCTCCACATGACCCCATGAGCACTGCCAAGCGACCCTTGAGCCCCAGTGGGTATGCCTCCCCTCAAAAAAAAAGACAAAATCAAAGTGTAAAAAGTTAAAAAAAAAAAAAAAGGCAGAGAGTTCTCTCTATCTAGAACATGCTGGCTAAAAGAATATCCATATAGCTCTGGAATGAGAGTGTATCAGTTAGGATGGTCAATGTCGGTTGTTTGGTCAGTTTGTTCTGTGAAAGGCCAAGCCAACTTCCTTCACAGAGAAATGCTGGCATGTCCTTCCAAAACTGTTGGGGAAAATTTTGGGATTTGATTAATAGGCATGCCCACTAGGAGAGAAAAATGTGAAAAATTATTTCTAGATCTTTCAGACTGAGGGCAGTCAGCTTCTAGTGTGTGCTAATTTCACCAAGGAAAGTAACTGAGCATAGAGTAACTTTTTTTTTTTTCGCTTTTTGGGTCACACCAGCGATGCACAAGGGTTACTCTCCTGGCTCATGCACTCAGGAATTACTCCTGGCAGTGTTCGGGTGACCATATAGGATGCTGGGAATCGAACCCGGGCCGGCACAGGCAAGGCAAACACCCTACCTGCTGTGCTATCGCTCCAGCCCAGTAACTGTCCTTTTCATCCCTGTGTCAAACAGCTTCCAAGCCTAGTCGTCTGACTGTGACATTAACAGTGACACACTCAAAGTATCTGATTTCTGAAGTCTGAACATTAAGCCCACGAATGTCTCTCCTTTGCCCCCTTTCTATCTTAACCTTGAATTTCATTGCAATAAATAACTCTCTGAAATGGAGACTTCCTTCACTTTCTGTGGCTCCAGTACCGAACTCACCAATGGACATATGATGACAAGACCCAAAGATCACATAAATCACCGAAGAGCAGAAAGTTGCGTACGAGACATTGAGAGGAGGAATCAGTTGCCTTGTCAGTAAACAGAGTGTCAGGCCTGAAAAACAAGACAATTTAAGTAAAAAAGGTAGACTGGCATCACAAAAACACCTTTAAATAAAACCTTTAAGGTATTTAAAATAGGGGCCAATGCTCGCTTCGGCAGCACATTTACTAAAATTGGAACGATACAGGGAAGATTGGGCTGGAGCGATAGCACAGCAGTAGGGCATTTGCCTTACAAGCGGCCAACATGGCTGACCCGAGTTCGATTCCTCTGCCCCTCCTGGAGAGCCCGGCAATTTACCAAGAGTATCTCGTCTGCACGGCAGAGCCTGGCAAGCTCCCTGTGACATATTCGATATGCTAAACACAGTAACAACAAGTCTCATGATAGAGACATTACTGGGCCTGCTCGAGCAAATCGATTAACAACGGGAGGACCGTGACCGTGACAGAGAAGATTAGCATGGCCCCTGCGCAAGGATGACACACAAATTCATGAAACATTCCATATTTTTACCTCATGGTCTCTCACTAATAAAAATAAAATAAAATAAAATAAAACAGGGGCCAGAGCCGTAGTACAGCGGGTAGAGAGTTGCTTTGCATGTGGCTGACTTGGGTTTGATCTTCGGCATCCCATATGGTCCCCCTAGCCCTCCAGGAGTGATTCCTTAGTGTAGAGCTAAGACTAAGCCCTGAGCACCACTGGGTGTACCCCTCCCTGCAAAAAGAATATACATATATTCTTTTTATATATAAATATATATATTCTTTTTATATATATTACATATAAATAAATAAATAAATATATATATAAAGATTCATGGAGCAACCAACTGTGGTAATGGAATCCCTTGTCAGACAGCTCTTAATTAGGACCTTTTTATTATCTTCTTTGATTCTTAGCCTCTCTTTTTTTTTTTAAACCATGTGCTATTACACCTCAATTTTAAATCATAGGTTTAAACACCTTATACTGCAAGACCTTCGTGCTAATCATGGAAAGCAAACATCACAGCAATAAAACGTCTAATTTCAACATCTCAGAAGCAACCCCATTCTCACTCCCAGTCTAGCACAAGAAAGTTCTGGAAATCCTCCAGGGTTCTAGATAAAAGCTGGAGAGCGAAGCAAGAATCACACTATACTAATGACTCGAAGTTAATATATTGTTTTACATCTTGCATAAACCCACTGCTCCAGTCTTTCCTTTCAGCTCCTTCTTCCATTCTTACTTTCTTTTCTAAGAAGCAACACAAGACTCTAGAAATTTTGAAGCAAATGGATTAACGGGTATGGTGTTATCCTTTGATGTCATAAGCCCACACCTCTTGCCCTGAGGGAGTCTTTTCAACTTACATCATAAGAGTGAACGAATTCAGTGATGGGTCCAGAGAACTGATTTATTGTCTCAGACAAGCAAAGATGTTTTCTTAATGGAAAAGTTCAAACAGATACAATTACAATAACAGAATATAATGAGCTGGCACTTTCCCACGAATCATTTCAACAATGGTCAACTCATGGCCAATCTTCTTTCACCAGTGCCTCAGGTCTCTCTTACTCTGTATTGTTTTGAGGCAAATCCAAGATATTAAGTCAGTTCACCTGTACATATTTTAGTATATGTCTTTGAAAGAAGATCTTCCTGGGATGGCAGGAGTTGCTCAGTGGTGGAGTACATGCCTTGCTTGTATGTAGCCCTGAGGTCAGTTCACAGCACCACATTAATTAATTTAAATTAAAGGCCCTCCCGTTGATCGTCGATTTGCTCGAGCGGGCCCAGTAACGTCTCCGTTGGAGACTTTGTTGTTACTGTGTCTGGCATATCGAATACTCTCGGTAGCTTGCAATAAATAAAATGAAAGAAAAGGAAGACATTCTTTTTGCTTTAGCTACAATACAATCATTATTCCTAAGAAACGAATAATGGGGCTGGAGATATGGCTCAGAGGCAGAGCAGTTGCCTTGTGTATTGTGAGGCCCTGAGTTTGATCCTCGGTTTTATCAATGCAAGTATAAAAATAAAGCAGGAAGAGAGATAGTACAGGGATAAGGTTCTTGCCTTGCAATACAGCTGACCCCAGTTTAATTCTTAGCACTGCAAAGGGTGCCCTGAGCACTGCCAGGGGTGAATCCTGAGCACATAGCCAGGAATTGCCCCAAGTAGTGCTGTCTGTGACCCAATGTCTCCAAATTTAAAAATTAATGAAATAAAAATTAAAAAGAACTTAGTAATGCTTAATTAATATTATCAAATATCCACCCCATGTTCCAATTTTCTTGTTTATCTCAAAATGGTTGTGTGGAAGAGGGTCTCTAAAATGATTTGCCATGGATGAATGATATCTATGTTCCTGTATGAACTTCATCTCTTACGTATGGAATACATTTTATAAGTCACTTCTAATGGATTTCTTTATCTTTGGTGGTGGGGGGTTGTGACCACACCTGGTGAATCTCAGGGCTCACTCCTGGATCTGCACTCAGGAATCACTGGTGGTGCTCAGGGGACCAAATGGGATGCTGGAGATTGAACCCAGGTCACCTATAAGCAAGGAAAACACTCCCTGCTGTACTATCTCTCAGGCTCCAGCCTCTAATAGATTTCAATTAAAAAATTAAGATGCCATTTCGGAGATTAGTTTGCAAGAAGACTGGTGTATTCTCTGGTTCTTTAGCTCTTTTTTAAATAATTTTTCATTATTTATATATTTTTTATTTATATATTTTGGTTTGGGGCACACCAAACAGTGCTCAGAGCTTACTCCTGGTTATACTCTAAGGGCTCACCCCTGACAGGACTTAGTGGATGATATGGGTGCTGGACAATAAACCAGACTGGGCATGTGCAAGGCAAGTACCTTCACTGCGATACCATTTCTCCATTTTCTATCTCTTTCATTTTTTAAAAATAGGGACCAGAGCCATAGCACAGGGGGTAGTGTGAGTTTCCAAAGGAATAGCTAATGCATGCATGGGAATTGAGCTTTCGGTGGCAAAGAGCCGCCTCCCCAGGTTGGACAACAGCAACAAAGGACCATCGGAAGCGAGAAACGGGAACTAGGCCCCAGGGTGGTTGGTAGACCGTTTATTTCTTTCTCCTTCCCCTGGTAGTCTGATCTCTCCCTTACAGCACAGTCGTGGTTGTAGTTTTGGTTGTAGTTCCAGTCACCTTAGTTCCATCATCTTGGTGTTCTCTTATACCTCAAAATCCTCTACCTTCTTTATGTTTTCTAGTCCTTCTCTTTCTAGTTTAGTCTAGTCTTTCAAACTTTTCTAGTCTTCCTCGTAGTCCTAGTCTAGTCTCATCCTTATCGTCTCATCTCCTAATCCCTTCTCCCCCCTTACAGTATAGTTATATAGAAATCACAACGGGTGGGGGTACACATAAGCGGGGATGAACATTGTCATAACAACAAACAGGTGTAAAGTCACTCCTTCAGGGAAAGTTCTAGGAGATTGACTAAAGGACAAAGTCTCATTTGAAGGTTCAGCACTCCAGATTACTAGATTACTAGGAGATCCGGTTAAGGGTGGAATTCCATCTAGGGTGTATTGCTTTCTCCTTTCCTCACCTAGTAATCCATTTAAACAATCATAGTAAATTTACTTCCTATAATATTTCTAGTCATTTTGTATGAACACAGTAAGAGATATATTAACCTTAAAGGTTGACTCTTCCTGGGGACATCTCACTATATACCCCAGACTACAGTCCTCAGGCCAGGTTAGTCTTTCTAACCCCAGCAGAGTCCTTTTTCACTTACTTCTTTTTAGGTCATGACAGAGTTTGTCCCACGACCATATTCTTAACTTATTATACTTATGGTGATTAGCTTGTCTCCTTTCTATGCCAGGGTAGCTTACAGCTTGCCCTAGGTCCATCCAGTCCCTTCATCGGGACCCTACTTATGGAATGCTAGGAACAACAGGCAACTGAGGCTTGAGTCAAGTAAATATTGATGCTCAGGAGCAAATATTATCTGGGGTCAATTAACTCCCATATTAAAAGCATAGTGTGAACTATCTTCCTGTGTCTATTTGAAAAGGACATTGCTAAACCATGCAAATGACAAAAAAGGAAAGAGAAAAGCAATATAGGATTATTAGTGCTTGATGGAATTGGGTGTACTTCAGGGGCACTGTCCTGGGAGTACCTCAATAAACCTAAGCTCCCTGCAGGAGGAGCAAGGACAACCCAATGTTATCCAACAGGGTAGGGCATTTGCCTTGCATGCAGTTGACTTACGGCTGCACAGGGAAGCTCAGGAGATCATGTTCTACCAGAAATTAAACCATGCAAAGAATGCACTCAGCTCATTATCATCTATTTTTATTGAGATTTCATGGCTTATAATCCTATCATATTATTGTTTTCTCTCTGCAATGCTACTACACCAGCACAGTGTTCAGATTTTCCCCCCTCCATCATCCCGAAGTCTCTTCTTCCCCCACCCCCACCCTCTCCCTTCCTTCAATCACAGTTCTCCTGGGTTTGTGTCTGTTGGGTCCTGTTTCCGCTGGGGATTTTCTCTAATCCCATGTTCTATTTATTTCTTTATACTCTACATATGAGCGAGATCATCCAATATGCTTCCTTTTGACAGTTCATGACTTGCTTCAATTCCATCCATGTTGCATCAGTCTGTTCACCACTTCCCTGAAAGCGCTTCCTGTTTCCAAGCTTTCTGATTGGAAACAATCTGAATGGTATGAGATAGTAGTTTATTATTGTTTTGATTTGCATTTCCACAATAACCAGTGATGATGAACAATTTTTCACGTGCCTGTTTGACATCTTTTTGCTTGTTATTTGGGGGGGGGTGTCATACCTAGTAATGATCAGGGGTTACTCCTGGCTCTCCATTCAGGAATTACTCCTGGCGGTATTGAGGGACCATAAGGGATGCTGGAGATTGAACCTGAGTCTGCCATGTGCAAGGTAAACACCCTACCCATTGTACTACCTGTAGGCCATCTTCATGTCATTTTTTAAAAAGTTGTTGTTTCTTCTTTTAAAATGGGCTGGACTGATGAGCACAGATGAAA